TGAGCTATTTTATATTCATTATTTTCTTACATTTTTTGTTTTTTAGTTTTTTTCTTTGCCCATTCAAGCAGATTCTTACTCAGACCTATGTGGCCTAATGTAAACAAGGCTTAACATAGTAATTGTGGTAGAATACAGCCTTTGTATCCACTGTTGATATGATCATGATGGACTTTTTCAACAGTGGATACAAAGGCTGTATTCTACCACAATTACTATGTTAAGCCTTGTTTACATTAGGCCACATAGGTCTGAGTAAGAATCTGCTTGAATGGGCAAAGAAAAAACTAAAAAACAAAAAATGTAAGAAAATAATGAATATAAAATAGCTCAAAAACTTATTAAATATATTAAATGAAACATACTGGTTAACAGTTAACAAAGATAAAATTTACAATCTTACAAAATAACAAGTTTATAGAAACATTTTACAAGAATGCAGAAAAACATAACAATCAGTAATTAAAATGTACTATAAAAGTAAGCATTTTTAATTGTTTGTTAAAATATATATATACCCAATGAAATCTTTTTTTAACTTTAAAAGCTCCAAATTCATGCACAGATAGAAATAAGATATATTATCTGCACATGTAAAAACATGCAGTTATCATCTCACTACTACTTCGATTAAATGGTTTCACATCTAGATAGTTGAAAAGCTACAGATGAAATAATAACAGTGTGCTTGGTTTAAGTTCTGATTTCAACAAAAGATGGAATTTAGGTCACGGCCATTCTCTTATAACCAGGAAAATACATGCTCAGAGTGGTACGAATCATGGGCCAATGTCTTACAAACTACTATCTGAGCAAGGTTAAAATTTAACACCTTTAAGCTCTAGTATCACTGAAATTCACTTTAGAAAAACTTTGTAAATTTGACATGTGAAATAATCCAACATACCTGGTACATTTCCATCCAAAAACTCAATACCCTCTGCTGAGTCTGTTGTATGAAATCCAGAACTTCTACATACAGAAGGTCTGTCTCCTGTTGGCTGACACTCGGTACTATGTGAGGAGGTCCACGGCTCCAGCTCTCGAGCCGAGTGCTCGTCAAGCCAAGCCTATTAGAACATACAAACAAAGATTCAGAATACACTATATGAAAAAACACACGTGTATCCCATACCAAGAAATATCCTCACAAATCCCTAAAATAAGTGAAGTTATACAAACTGATCAACAATTGTATTCTCTCTGATAAAAACTTTGGACTGTAACAGGAGAAAAAACAATAACAAGCTTTTACCTCTTTTACTGAAGCCTTCTCAGGTCTCTAGAAAGAATAAGTATTTATATTTATGGGTTACAAATTCTTTCATTTATTTTAAAGATTCCATAATGTAAGCCTAAAACATTTTTAAACTATAGTCTTTACCAATCCACTGCAGAAGCCACAATCAATTGAAATATAAGTCTCAAACTACGTTTATATAAAGTACAACTTTAACATATTAACTTTTAAAATATTTTAACTGTTTCCTACGTGAAAAAGCAAATTTCAAGTACAGTACAATTCTTATAATTTGAAAAGATTTTAATATAACCAAATCTTACACGAATACTTAACCTGATAAGGGCCAATGTCCCAATTTTAGGATGCAAGTTTAAATTATTATAAATTAAAAACTTCCGAGTGAATTGTTTTAAACTTTTCAGGTTACACTAACTTTGCATCGTTCTACATAGAAATGTAGGCAAATTGTTATTTATTTATAATTTCATTGAACGCTTCACACTTAGATTTTGTTGATATTTGACTTAACATCACTGGTTTCTGTTTGCTGCCTTAAAGGATTGCTTCAAAAGTAAATATTTTTATCGGATAGTGTCTTTGTGTTTATATGACGTTTCTAAAGCTAGAAAAAACTACGTTTTTCAAATTTCCAAAAAAAAAACGTTCTGGCCCTTAATGAATTAAATTAAATGCTCAGACATGTAATATTAAATTTCAAACAGTCTGTCAACAGTATGACAACTTTCATCTTCATAATGTGGTCACTAATAATAAAAACTTTTAATGTTTTACTTTCAGTCCTAGCATCATTCAACTTTAATATCTACGAAACAACAACAAAAATGGGTTAAACAGCTTAGTTTGATCATGTTGCCCAACTCCCCAACCAAGTGGTTCTGTTTTGTTTTTTTAAAGGCCACCCTAGCTAATAATTTTTTTAGTTAAAGTTTTTTAAAATAATGGCTAAAGAAATATGAAATTAAAGGTTGAAATACAAAAAATACATCGATATTATGTCACATTTCATACTATCAACACAAGAAATACATCGATATTATGTCACATTTCATACTATCAACAAAAAAATACATCGATATTATGTCACATTTCATACTATCAACACAAGAAATACATCGATATTATGTCACATTTCATACTATCAACACAAGAAATACATCGATATTATGTCACATTTCATACTATCAACAAAAAAATACATCGATATTATGTCACATTTCATACTATCAACACAAGAAATACATCGATATTATGTCACATTTCATACTATCAACACAAGAAATACATCGATATTATGTCACATTTCATACTATCAACACAAGAAATGTTTTAATTTTCATTTCATGTATTGTAGTGTGATTCATTATAAATACACATTTTGTGGTGATTTACTTTATATGGTAACTTTATGATAAATACCTGCCAGTATTTATTCTCAACTGTTCCTAGAACTCCCTTTCAATATAACGATATTGTAATTGCTTATGTCACGCTGTTTTTACACACCGTTACACCTAAAATACATTCTTTATTTCGTTTAGTTGGGTAAATGTCGTGACAAGACAAACGGCTGGAAGATAACTTTAGGTACTTCAAACAACATGTATGTAAAAACAATGCATGACATTGAAACAAAAGCACATATACATCTACCAAGCTACAAACAGGTTCTGTATGAATACATGCAACAAACAGGTGTTTATGTCCTGCTGAGAGAATTAACATTTCCTGCAGCACAGAACTCTTCAATTTTACAAAATAAAAGTCCAGGATGTTAACATAAAGGCTTTTATAATGACACTGAAGAAAGTTTTTAAAGGGTGGGCTACCTGAGAAATGTTTTTTACAGGTTCCAAAGAGAGCCTGTGCATATCATACTCAAGTATGCAGGTATTATGATTTTAGATCTTAAATACTAAGTGAGTTTACCCGTGCTTCTTCCACGTAGGGAGAAAACAGTCTCGGAAGGCTCACTGGACCACCCTTCCTTCCTCGAATCCAAGATGCTATTCTGTGATACACCCCACTACCTTGCAAGTGATCATCGTCCAGCATGCATGACGGAGGGGAAGGGAATAAGCCTCGTTTCACAGCATTTGCTAGTAAATCGCTCTCTGGTGGCAAGATGTGATCGACTCTTACAAAACAAATCAAATCAGAGATGATATCTCTTAGCTCAGCAAAACAAAAGTCTCTTCTTCTGGGCCCTTTACGGCCAACCATATAAACTGGCTGTGGAGTTGTTACTACTGGTTCTAAAAAGACAAAATAAATGTGTTTTGTATACCGATAGTTTTGCTAAAACTTATGAATTATAATCAGATGAACTTTATTCAAAAATTGCAAAACAGTTTCGTACAGAAGTAAGAGACGTGATCACTTTAAACCTTATTATTAAGTTTCAAACACTTCACTGGTAAGATGCCATGACAGGTGCTATGAATGAAAGAAAATGTACATTAAAATTTTATCAGGTTAACATATCCAGAACTGGATTTGTGATATTATTGTGTTTCTTTAAGATCTTTAGATAAAAGTTGATAAACAAATCTATAAGTACCAAAATTGATTCATAACGGGATCTATCCCTCAACCAGAGTCGAAATAGTGTTTGGGTTGCAGAGAAGGGAACAAGAAATTAGAGTAACTGTTTCTTGCATACACCACTACAAATTACAGAATCCAAATATACAACTTATATGATGATAAACTATTTCAGTTGGGAGTCATGAGCTGTCAAAGAGATACAGGATTTTGAATTGGCTACATCATCTTGCCAGCAACAGCCGCATAAATAATTCTCAAATTAAATTACGTGAACTGTCTGTTTGAGGTTGGAGACCTTGTCTTGATCTTCTGATCTGGTGGAAGGCTACAGCTACTATTACTATGGTCTTGGTTAGCACCAAACCTATTTTTGAGTGCCAGAACAGCACCTTTGGGCTTGATAGAAAGATTTACCTCAACAAAGGCTGTCAAAAAGTCCATCATGATCATATCAACAGTGGATACAAAGGCTGTCAAAAAGTCCATCATGATCATATCAACAGTGGATACAAAGGCTGTCAAAAAGTCCATCATGATCACATCAACAGTGGATACAAAGGCTGTCAAAAAGTCCATCATAATCACATCAACAATGGATACAAAGGCTGTCAAAAAGTCCATCATGATTACATTACAATCCTGACATCTACCACAATTACAATCCTGACATCTACCACAAAATCCTGACATTACTCTACCACAATTACAATCCTGACATCTACCACAAAATCCTGACATCTACCACAATTACTTGTCAGGATTGTAATTGTGGTAGATGTCAGGATTGTAATTGTGGTAGAT